TCAGTGGAGATGCGATGCCCTAGACTAGATTTTGCCTTCTGATGCTGTCATTTTGTCAAGGGGAACTGATCTCCGTGGCCTGGAGAACAGTCGTCATTCCGGGAGCCCTCCAAGCCATCACCTGGAGGTTGGTAACGCTAAGCCAATCAGCTGCCCCGGAGGGGCTGGCAAACAGGGCTTGGAGACCAAGGCCTTCCCTGATGTTGCCTCCTTGTACTGGTATCCAGAGGTGTACTGCCACTGGATGTGGAGGTTGCTTTAGGGAACCCTTTTGGCTAGTTGCCAGCATCCAGGTGGGGCTGGAGAACTCCTGGGATTCGAGCAGGTCTCCAAGGTACAGAAATCAGTTCCCCCAGGGAGAAAAAATGGCTGCGGTGGAGGACTCTATGGCATTGTACCCTGCTGAGGTCTCTCTCACCTTTGCAAACCCTACTCAGGCTTCAAATCCTCAGGCTCCAACCCTATAATCTCCAGGAATTTCCCAGTATGTTGTTGGCAGTCCCAGCTCCTAATCACTGATGGCCCTCTTTTCCATCAGTCTGTCTAACCCCCATTTAAAGCTTTAATCCAGCATCCCTGAACACAAGCTGATAAACCCGTTGAGGGAGTTTGAAAAGCAGTGTCCAGTGCTGGAGGGCTGGGGGCTGTGGCTAGGCTACAGCCTTAGCTTGGCAAGCAGAAGGCCCCAGGTTCAATCCTGGCATCTCCAGTTGAAGAACTTGGCAGTAGGTGATGGGAAAGGCCTCTGCCCGAGACCCTGGAGAGCGGCTGCCAGTCTGAGTAGACAATACTGACCTTGATGGACCAGTGGTATAAGGCAGCTTCATGTGTTCATAGGTTCAAGCTACAGCTGGTGTAGAAACCAAGACTTCCTTGTGCCAATACGGTGCATGTTTTGTGTACAGAAATCCCTGGCACCTTCAGTGAGAGGACCTCGGGAAACAGGTGGAAAGAAAGACCCATCTCTGCCCGAGACTCAGAGCCGCTGTCAATGAGAACAGACAAGACTACGCTAGAGGGACCAAGTGTCTGCCTCAGCAAAAGGAAGCATCATATATTTTTCAAAGCTCGAATTACAGACTTCCACGACTGATAGTACCACCATTCCAAGCGGCACTATACCCTTCTAAGTCCATTGAAAACAATAGGATTAGAAGCATGTTAACTCTGCTTCATTAACCTGATATTGTCATTTGCCGGCTGGTGTCATTTGGCATCCGAAATCACTCCCCTTTCCGATATATAGGGAGATGGACTCCCGTTCTAGCTGTATCTGAAGAGGTGAGCAGTGACTCAGAAAAGCTCCTCCCCTGCCACAAATTTTGTTAGTCTTTAAGGTGCTCCTGGGCTCTGGCTCTTTTCTTCTGCATGCAACTGTAAAAGACGCGTCCATCCTCATACAAGGAATAGACTGCCACCCACCCCTCCACCCAATCATAGAAACAGAACAGGTGTTCCTAACCCACAAATGTCCACTGATTATTGGAGCAAGTGAGCCAAACTACGTCATGCATTGGAAAGGAAACCGTCTCCCCCAATGCTTCCTCTAAGCTGTGGAGTCTTGTGAGCAAAAATTCTACTTTGTGAGCTAATGACATTAAAGTTGTGAGTGAGCGATTTGGCTGCTGCATAAATTAGTTTGCTCTGGAGCCATCCTTCCTGAGGTGAGACAAAAAAAATGTGTGAGCCAGAGGCTAAAAAACTGTGAGCTAGCTCACATTAACTCAGCTTAGAGGAAACACTGGTCTCCCCGCCCTGGCCAATTTGAGCTGGGGAGAGATTTTTTACAATGCCCGGTTCGAGCTGCCTGTCCACTCCTCGGCACGAGCAAAACCCAGCAGTAGGGAACTGTTATTGGGGCTGCAGATCTCGCCTTACTAGTGATCAATGTTCCCTCTAAGCTGTGGAGTCTTGTGAGCAAAAAATCTACTTTGTGTGTTGGTGGCATTAAAGCTGTGAGCCAGCCATTTGGCTGCTGCATAAATTAGTTTGCTCTGGAGCCATCCTTCCTGAGCTGAGTCAAAAATCTGTGAGCCGGAGGCTAAAAAGCTGTGAGCTAGCTCACACTAACTCAACTTAGAGGGAACACTGCTAGTGATAGGAAAAAAGGGAAAAGAACCCAAGGGTAGTTTTTGTGATTGAAAGGTTTTCAAGCGGGGCTGATGTGTTGCACACCAGTTGGTAGGGGTCTCCTACATAGTCTGAGTATGCTGACATGAATCCTATTAAAGCTTCAGAATGATGCCATGTTTATGATTTTGCCTCATTTTACTCTGGGGTCATCCACCACCACCACCACAGGAGGCTTTCACTGATTGGCCTCTGTGTACTGTGGGCTGCTAGGAAGACAACCAGACTTCTTGTTTTGCATCTTACCCGGAACAACTGCAGGTTCATCAAATATCTGGCAGGCCGCAGTACATAGCTATAGGGTTGTGTGTGGTTTGGGAGGCTAGAGATATGCAATTCTACACCACAATCTGTTTCTGTATGTACAGTAAGGACCACAAATTATAATCCTCATATAATCACATGCTCTTAAGGGATACCAAAGACATCTGTTCCCATCCCAGGGCTGCTCCCACGTGGAAGATGACTCTCTGTGTAGCTCATGTTGCTGCAGTAAGGAAGCAACAGCACATCCAGATGGACGTTTTCTCTTCACTTTCCTTGCCTTTGCTTTCCATAGCTACCACCTGTCAAGGGAGGCCTCTTTAAAAAATTGATAATAGCTATATTGCTATAGCAATGTAATCATCTATTGGAAAAGTGTGCTAGGTTCCAGTTTTCATTCGAAGAAAAACTAACTTCGTAGCCCTTTTTGCTGCCGAGTTATAAAGGGAAAGGTACTGGCCACGTATTTCTCCTCCACAACTAAAACAGATATAGACTTATGAGGGGAAGGAGAATGGCCACTGGGGCGAAGGCAAGGAAAGTGGTGGCAGTGTGGGCAGGACCTGCAAAAATGCACATCCTATCCTCACAGCATCGAAAGGCATTTTGATTGTGATCTTACCAATAAGATCATATCAAACCAGGTTTGGGAAAGACTGCAGCAAAGTGGGGGGGAAACACAGACAACAGGACAACTAGAGGATGAAGTCATACGGAAGCTCCTGTAAACAGCATTGCAGTAAGGAAGCCAAGGTGGAGCAAAACATCTGATTATGAGGATGGCTAACGGATGATTGGGACGGACTAATGACTCTGTTTTAAGCCATCTTGAATGGTCTTGCATTCTGCTGTACCACTGGTTTATTTCTCATTCCCCACTGTTAATTACCCATCCAGCTTGGATTTTGTTTTTAAAATACAATTCACTTTATTCCTTAAATTAAAAAACAATAATAAAGTTCATTTCTCTTCTTTTCAAGTGAAAATCGGGACGTGGATCTGTGACTGCAGACGGCCCCTCGTTAACTGCATTGGCAGAATTAATGATATGGATGCGTCAGAGGCGCCTTCTGATCAGCGAAAGGTCCTCAAATGGAGGGTGTGCAAGGGGACGTCGCTCCTTCATACCCCTTTCAGTTCTCATCCTGCGGACTGTCAACAAAGAGGTTGGGGTTTTCCGATAACATGGACCTGACTTTCTTCTTTTCCTTGAAGCGCCCCGAGTTGGAGACCTTGACGTGTTTGCCTTTGGTGCTTTTGTCAACTATCTTCTCTAGCCGGGCGTTGAAGTTCTGTTCCCCAGTTCCGTCACCACCACCGTCCACCGGCGTGACTTCTTGCTGGTTCTCATTGCTGGCGACGGCATAGATATCGGGGCTTTCGTACAAGACTTTAGGGGTGGATTTCTTCTTCCGAAGGAAGGTCAGTTTCCACCAGCTGTAATTATTTTCCGCCATGGCAGCTGTCAGGAAGAACTCCAGCACCCTTGGGGAAGAAAAGAAAAGCACGGGGGGTTAGCAAGAGTGTGTGGCTTTGCTTGGTTCTTCTTCCCAATGGAACAAGTCTAGAATTCTGAGGTAAAGACACCAAATCCTGTTGACACCTCTCCCACTAAATCCCAGTTTTGGTTTTTTCTTTTTGCCATCAAGTCACAGCTGATTTATGGCGACCCTGTAGGGTTTTCAGATCAAGAGATGTTCAGAGGTGGTTGGCCATTGCCTGCCTCTACTTCACCGCCTTAGTATTCTTTGGAGGTCTTTCATCCAAATACTACCCATGACCGACCCTGCTTATCTTCTGAGGAGAGATTGGGCTAGCCTGGGCCATTCAGGTCGTGGCCAGTTTTTTAGCACAAAGCATCTAGGCAAGAGCCTGGGTTTGTAAGCTTCTGTCCTAATCTTTGGGATTAATTACATGAAACTAGGGTTGCCAACTCTGGCTTGGGAAATTCCTGGGGGGGGGAGTTTGGGGGAGGGAGGGAGCTCGGCAGAGATGTGATGCCATCCAGTCCACCCTCCACGTCTACCCTCTCCCCCAGAGGTGCTGATCTCTATAATGCGGATGTCAGTTGTAGTTCTGGGAGGACTCCAGCCCCCAACCTGGAGATTGGCAACCTTATAAATGATACAGAGTCTTTGGCCAGATCAGGGTCTGGCCAGGACTTCTCCACCAGGAACGCAATTCCCAGGTACGGGGGGACCTGATTAGGGTCAGGGTCATGGAGCCTGAGTGCTTAAATGTTGCTCTTGAGCCATTTTGCTGGCCCCGAAGAGCCCTGTCTACCCCGCTGGGCAAACTATGTACCCCTCAGTACATGTAGAGCCCCTTATTAAGGCAGTCTGGTGTAGAGCCAGTTTGGTGTAGTGGTTAAAAGTGGCAGACTCTAATCTAGAGAACCGAGTTTGATTCCCCAGTCCTCCACATGCAGCTGCTGGGTGACCTTGGGTCAGTCCAAGTTCTCAAAAGAGCTCTCTCGGCCCCACCTACCTCACAGAGTGTCTGTGGTGGGGAGCGAAAGGGAAGGAGACTGAAAGCCGCTCTGAGACTCAGTATAAATCCAACTCTTCTTCTTCAAATAATACCCCCCCCCAGGTTTTCGTTCAGGAAAAAGGCAGGGTGGGAAGAACTGAAGTCCCTGTCTCCGTTCACAGCTGGAATCCCAGTGCAAACTGGGCCTTACACATCTTACACACCTGAGGACCGGTGTTCCCTTTAAGCTGAGTTAGTGTGAGCTAGCTCACAGTTGTTTAGCCTCCAGCTCACACATTTTTGTCTTAATTCAGGAAGGATGGCTCCAGAGCAAACTAATTTATGCAGTAGCCAAGTCACTTGCTCACAGCTTTGCTGCCAGTAGCTCACAAAATAGAATTTTTGCTCACAAGACTCTACAGCTTAGAGGGAACATTGAGGACTACAGCTTAGAGGGAACATTGAGGACTGAGTTCCCTGTAGGGAAGTCACATGCACATGTGGGTTGTTCTGTGTGTGTGTGTGCGTTAAGTGCTGTTAAGTCATTTCCAATTTATGGCGAGCTACCTTATGAATTAACGTCTTCCAAAGCACCCTACCATTAACACCCTTGCTCAGGTCTTGCAGAGTGAAGCCTGTGGCTTCCTTGATTGAGTCAATCCATCTCTTGATGGGTCTTCCTCTTTTCCTGCTGCCTTCAACTTTTGACCCAGGGAAAAACATAACATGTAGTCAACCCCCCAATGTGGCAATACTCAGTTTAATCCAGGGTGTAAATTATAATCCAGATACTGAATTGAGGCCAGTTTTTCTAGGTTCTGGGGATGTAGGGAGTACCTTCTGGCTGCTGCTCATCAGCTCCAAATGTAGTCTTTGGCCATTCCCCAGATGACCATTTCCAAAATGACTGGAACGTACCCATGGGAAATTGTCCCTTGTTTTTGTTTTGTTTTTTGCTCTATTTCAGCATCTGCCACAGTTCCAGACCAGACTAATCTTTCTTGTATTTCCCATCTATAAATGTTTCCTCCTCCTAGATTGAGGGCTCATGATTATATTACAAAAACGTGCACCATTTGCGCAATTGTAAACCACTAGCATCCCTCCCCGTGGGCAAACATTTTCATGCAATTTACTGAAACACAAAGGAGAATGAGGTGATTGTGAGGATCGCAGAACGCACTTTGAACCTTTGAGCTGCAGAAATGCTAGAAACAAAAGCCATCAAACACCCTTCATTACAGCCGACTGAAATCACAATAGTGTCCAAGATTTCAAGTTCTTTTGCCTGGTAATACGTATGATGTTGAAACTCAACATCAAAAAAACTAATATCATGGCATCTGGCCCCATCACTCCTTGGCAAATAGGAGAAGTTAGTTGCTGTAGATTTTCCGGGATGTGTGGCCCTGGTCTTGGCATTGTAGAACCTGACGTTTTGCCAGTAACAGTGACTGGCATCCTCAGAGGTATAAACACAGAAAGATGGAATACTCTCTCTGTCAAGGTGAGAAGAAAATGGTAGGCAGTAAATTTATATCTATTCCAGAAGGTGGGTGGGGCTAAGTCATTGTCTTGTAGGAGTTCCCCAGGCTATGGACATGCTAATAGAGGAGCTTTCCTGAGGAGGTTCTTTTGTTTCCTGAGGAGGTTTCCTGCTTCCTGAGGGGGTTGTTGAAATTCTAATCTTATCTGTAGTGCTATTGTCTGATGTAGAGCCTTTTGTGTTTTTAAGGACAGGAAGCCATGTCCTATTTATTTTTAAACTCTCTTCTTTCCTGTTGAAATTATGTTTATGTTTGTGAATTTCAATGGCTTCCCTGTGTAATCTGACATGGTAATTGAAAGTGTTTTCCAACCTTTCAGTGTCTTGGAACAAAATACTGTGGAGAAGTCATGGAAGCAGTGACAGACTTCACGTTCCTGTCTCAGAGTGACTTACAAACTCCTTTCCTTTCCCCTCCCCACTACACACACCCTATGAGGTAGGTGGGGCTGAGAGAGCTCTTGACAGAAACTGCTCTTTTTCAAGGACAGCTCTTGTCAGAACTACGGCTTGCCCAAGGTCATCCAGCCATGTGCAAGTGGAGGAGTGGGGAATCAAACCTGGTTCTCCCAGATTAGAGTCTGTGCACTCAACCACTACACCAAATTGGCAAAGGATGAGATAGTTAGACAGTGTTATCGAGGCAACAAACATGAAATTAAGCAAACTCAGGAGCACAACGGAAGACAGGAGGGCCTGGCGTGATGTGGTCCATGGGGTTGCAAAGAGTCGGACTCGACTGTGCGACTGAACAACAACAAGGTATGATATCATTTCTATTTATGGCTTCAGCTTTGGACTGACCTGCCTACCAACAATCGTACATGTAATAAAGATGCAAATTAATAAATAAATGATAGCAATGGGTGAAACTCCTGTGCAGATAAAAAAAATGCAAACAGTATGCAGTGCTCCCTCTAACCTGTGGAGTCTTGTGAGCAAAAAATCTACTCTGTGAGCTACTGGCATTAAAGTTGTGAGCGAGCGATTTGGCTGCTGCATAAATTAGTGTGCTCTGGAGCCATCCTTCCTGAGCTGAGACAAAAATATGTGAGCCGGAGACTAAAAAAACTGTGAGCTAGCTCACACTAACTCAGCTTAGAGGGAAGACTGGCAGTCTGACAACTAGGGAGGCCAGCCTCCAGGTGGGACCTGGGGATCCCCTGGAATTACAGCTCATCTCCAGACTACAGCGATAAATTCTCCTAGAGAATATAGACACTTTCGAGGGTAGACTCTATGGCACTGGACCCCACTGGGGTCCCTGTCCTCCCCAGGCTCCATCCCCAAATCGTCTGGAGTTTCTCAGCCTGGAACTGGCAACCTTACCCTCCACCCATCCCCCACCAGTGGCCAGGGGGGCCCTGGCAACCCACAGCTAGGGAATATCTGTCTGCAAAACTGAGTTTGCAGAAGAAGCATGAAAACTAATTGACAAAAACAGAGGGTTGCCTCCAATGTTCCCTCTAAGCTGTGGAGTCTTGTGAGCAGTGTTCCCTCTAAGCTGAGTTAGTGTGAGCCAGCTCACCGTTTTTTAACCTCCAGCTCACACATTTTTGTTCTAGCTCAGGAAGGATGGCTCCAGAGCAAACTCATTTATGCAGCAGCCAAATCACTCGCTCACAACTTTAATGCCAGTAGCTCACAAAGTAGAATTTTTGCTCACAAGACTCCACAGCTTAGAGGGAACATTGCTTGTGAGCAAAAATTCTACTTTGTGAGCTACTGGCATTAAAGCTGTGAGCGAGCGATTTGGCTACTGCAAAAATTAGTTTGCTCTGGAGCCGTCCTTCCTGAGCGAAGACAAAAATGTGTGAGCTGGAGGCTAAAAAACAGTGAGCTAGCTCACACCAACTCAGCTTAGAGGGAACACTGGTTGCCTCCTCCCCAAAGTAAACAGTGACATCTGCACATGTGCAGGCAATTGTGGCTTAAAAAAAAACAGGTAACCTGGGATGCTGCACAAAAATGTAAAAAGAAAGGGGAGGGTAGGAGAGCAACCAGGGGGAAGAAACCCTGTGAGGATAAGCTATGGGGAGGGAAAACCTGCAGTTGGGTGGGTTGAAGGACAGGGGTGCCAGCTGTGGTTTGGGGAAATACCTGGAGATTTTTTTTGGGGGGTAGAGCCTGAGTGGGGCAGGGTTTTGGGAGGAGACACCTCGGCAGGGTATAGAATGCCCTAGAGTCCGGCCTCCAAAGCAGCCATTTTTCTCCAGGGGAGCTGATCTTGGTTGCCTGGAGATCAATTGTAACAGTGGGAGGTCTCCAGGTGTCACCTGAAGTTTGGCATCCCTACTGAAGGACAGTTGGGCCAGCAGCAAAGGAGGTGGGGAAAGTGATGACTTGGAGCAGAGGGGATGAATGGACAGCTGAACGGATAGACAAGGAGCAGGGAAACCCCAGAGATCTGCTTGACTGGGCAAGAGGAAATGGGCTCTGTAAGCAAGAGCTAAAAGGGGAGGAAATGGGG